TTGTGGAGTTTCCTTCCCTGGAGACTTTCAAGACCCGTCTGGGCGTGTTCCTGTGTGACCTTCAAAGTCCCTTCCAAGCCCTAACATTCTGTGATTCTATCTGTGAGGCTTTGCTTTCAATTATTGTGCATTTCCAGTTTCTCTTTCTGGGCCATGGAGGGCTTTAATGTGTAAAATACTGCAGTTACGAATTGGCTGTGCTTCTCCCGGCAGTTTGCTGTGTTACTTTGAGCAAGTTCAAATTAGTTTGCATTGTGTTTCTGTGAGTGTCCATGAATTCAGCCAGTGTAGTTATGAGGTGACTCCTCTATTTGTTTATGCCAAAACCGAATCCCTACTTTTATTGCATAAAATATGGTAAAATATCCTCCATATTTTTTTAATATATATGAGAGGTAAACAAGAATTATTTATTTTGACTTGTTTGAAGCTGAAGTCTTCCTGACTAGTTATGACAATGTCAGGGACTCATGGAGATGAAAAAATAAGGCTTATTCTTTCAAACATTTACACTTGTAAATCAAGCAAAATGAAATCTAGAGGTCTGACTTATCACTATTTACAGTAACTATAGGCAGAAAATATTTCTGGCTTTGTGTTACCTTCAGTAGCTTTCTTTGTGCTAAATAGTATGAACTGGAACATGAAGTGCACGATGTTGGTGATGATCTTTAGAATTCTTTTCCAGAACACTGAGAAGTGATCCTGCGTGTTGTTCATGTTGTTTTATAGCTTCCCTGATCCAGGCTAAACTAATCATTTTCGTGCTTAAAGAGACAGACCAAACTTTGCCAGTCTTTTTCCGTTCTAGTATGCCTTAATAGGATTGCACGTAGGTAGTTCAGTTATATTCTACATTCTCAACTGGGCCATGAGGATTTTCTAGCTTAGTCTTAAGGTCTCCACTAAATGCTGTAAATTGCTTAGAAGTAGTGTTTGAATTTGCGATTCCTAGTTAACAGAGTACTTCATTAACGTTACCTCCGCAGGCTTTTAAGTTTGTGGATAGATTGGGAAAACTCTTAAGTGCCTTGTAGGTAGAGACAACAGAAAATAGAGATGACAAGTCATGATATCTTGGACCTTTAGCTCTTAATTTGTTACAACTTCCAGAAGCTGTTTGTACCAATGGATTATGAAGCATAGAGATAGAGAATGAGGAACTCATGGGTAGGAACTCGCATTGTATGCTCTGTGTCAGAAGTATCCTTAGTGAAAGGAGAGGAAACCTCCTCAAATCATTTCTGTCAGGAGGTTATGGTAGGAAGTATGTCTCTTTTTTTTTTTTCCTGTTTAAATACTGTAGTTGTATTTGAACTTGCTCACAGGAGTACTGCAGAAGCAAACTGATAATTTGTGGAATAACTCTTGCCTTTTCCACTTTGACTCCACATAGCTGATGTAACACTGCCATGAGCCACAACATGGGAATATGACCTTTGTGAAATAGATCATAATTACGCCTGTAGATAATTGGACTTGTATAGTTTTCTTTCATGTTTTAGAAATTGATGAAGTCTAAAAAATAAACCTGGATGAAATGTCAAGGACTTGCTGCTTTTATTTGTTTGTTTCTGCAAACTTAGTTCGTAAACCAGAAAAAGTGTGTTGGGTTGAAGCAGCTGGGACTGTTCGTGATGGTGTCCGAGCATACACAGCTTTACACTACCTTTCCCAAGTCTCTCCTGGAAAAACTGTCCTCGTAATGGATGGAGCGAGTGTAAGTAACAACTGTAACGATTTCAGAACAGAAAGATTACCTCTGCCATTACTAACTGTCTTGTCACCAGAACTACTGGATTTCTTACAACATAGTAAACTTATCAGGCCTTGTGTTTTACTCCTGGCAGCGCCCTGAACTTAATGGATTGATAGGAAAGGCCCTCCCACGTAAGATACCGAGCCAAGAATACAGTCCTTTACATGTTGTGTGGGTGGGAAAGAGAGGTAGTTCTTCTCTGGTGTTTTACATTGACATAGTTTTACCCTAAGCCCTCAGGTATAACTGGAGGAAAGTGTGTTAATTTTTTATTCCTTTCCCACCACTGCTTTTTAACTTCTCTTAGATAGAAATAATTTCATCTTTGTTACTGCAGTCTTTATTGCTAACGAAGACAGGGAGCTTGCCTCAGCCAAGATTCATTAATGGAAATGTGTCTGGGGCTTTTTCCTTGGTAGCATTTCTTCCTTCAACAAGCGAGCAAGCCCTAAGCTATAAGTTACAATTGCAGTTATGGTACATGCTTTACTTGAAGTAGAATCTGAGCTGTTTTGTTGAAGAAGAGAACTAGTTAATTACTAAAAGTCTCTTCAGAGCTTCCTAGTCAATGACAAAACTTTTGTTGGCCTCAACTTAGAACAGAAGCAGATCTGTGAATATTCAAATTCTTGGTTCTAATGTGTTTTTTATTGAAAATATAAGTTTAAACAGCATCAAGTAGTTGCTGTAAATAAATTTGTCTACCTTTTTTCTTCTGCAGCCATTTGGTACAATAGCTATTCAGTTAGCACAACATAGAGGAGCTAAAGTAATCTCCACTGCATACAGTCTTGAAGATAAGCAGTACCTGGAGAGGCTTAGACCTCCTGTAGGTAAGTTACATTCTTCAGTGCTGAAGTTTAAGCTAAAGAATGTCTCAAAATACTTCTTTTTTTTAGCTTTTTAGTCTAGAGACTTAGCTCAGTAGCTGAAAACTGAAATACGAATTTATAAATATTCTAATCAAATAGTTTTAAAATTTACTCTGTACTTCATAGGTATTTAATTTCTAAGTGTATTTAACAGTATTTTCATTCTTCATTTAAATTGTAATGACTGTCTCTCAGTACTTTGCACCTCGCACAACAGTGCTTGAATGCTGGCTTTTGGCCTAACAACTCAAGAAGTCTTTTCACTTTATAAAATTGTTGCTTATGTAGAAGAAGGAAGGATTACTAAATCACCAATTATCATAGTATGTAATCTAGATACCTGAGCCAGAGTTCAGATGTAATCATATACTTGAGATACAGTATTCATTCAGACTCAAATTACTTCTAATAGTATTTTATCAAGCTGTGTGGCAGCTCAGTTTCAAGTACCGTTGTAACTGTTGCTGGACGCTCAAAGGCTCTGCACTTCCTATTTTCTAAATGAGCTTTGCTTTAGACATAATACTTGCATTCATCTATGACTTCTTCCATTTCTTCTCTTTGATACTTGAGCTTCTGGGGAGCTTTCCCTCAAAGTAACGATGCTATTTGGATCATGGGAAAATACTCTATGTGGAAGCTGCTAGCATTTTTCCCACTCAGACTTTATGATCTTGATGCTGCAGAGTGGAGGAAAGTAGAATATTTCTTTATTCAGACAGTTTTAAAATAAAGGATGGCATTGCAAGGTACAGCTTGATTGCAGTACGTGAACTAGTGTCTGGTATTTCCTCCTCAAAATGCAAAGGCTGCTGCAATATAATCACTAGGTTTATTTTTCAGTGTATGATTTTAATTGTCATTCAAAGAAGTATGTGTGCGAGTAGCTGCATCTCTTGTACGAATGCCTTTGGGGGAAGGAAAGTGTTGTGTAGTCAGCTATCACGTCTACATACATTAGTCATATCCATCAATATATGTGTGGATTAAGATGAGTTCTTATTAAAAAAATAACGTCAAGGTTAACTGTCGCTGACTCTGGCTCCTTTCTCCTTTGTTGTTTTGCATAGTAAGGCTCTTAGCAGCCTTGGCTTTCCGAGTGGAGAATTAGAGCAGTTTTCAAATCTCCTCTCTTGTTCCTGGTGACTCACTAAACCCAGGCATTGCTGATATGCAGGTGCACACAGTATTGTCCTTGTGTTCTCCCTGCTGGCTCGAGAATAGTAAGCCAGCAGAGGGGTGAAATAAGCCAGAGGGCTGCTCTTCAGGCACAGAGAGAACAGCGTTCTTGTCAATTTTAATTCCTTTTTGGCTCCCAAGAACAGAACTGGCAGTGGAAGCACAGAGACAACACAGTCTGCGCAGTCTGGGGCTGCACGTTCACACACATCTGCAGCGTCGGGGAGCGATTCACGTCCAGCCTGCCAAGGGAGCATTTAGCTCCTCCAGCCGTGGCTTTGGCGGGCTGATAATGCAGCAGGAAGCGGAGCCCTGTGCAGAGGTTATTACACAAGAGCAGGAAGAAAGACATTCTTGCCGTCTGACCTTAAGGATCTTCAGGAGGGAGTTGCAAAGTTTTGTGTCAGGAATGCAATCGTTTCTTCTAAGACCTGGCAGGCTTATTTCTCTGGATTTTTATATTACCTCTTTTTTTTTTTTTTCAACTTCACAAAAAAAGTGAGATTTTTTCCTTATTTCAGAAATGCTTTTTACTGTAATAGTAGGCATTACAGACTTCACAATGTGAAGCATTGTTGTGAATGCTATTGATATGTAGAGATCTGTTATGCCAGCTGTTACAGGGTGAAAGAGTAAATACAAAAGACCTAAAACTTCCCTTTGTAATATTTTATGGGTATACTTTGCTAATGGTGTGAAAACTTTATTAGCTAAGAAAGGACTTTGCAATTAATTTTATTATCATAGGCCTGTCAGCACATATAAATATGTCTCCAGGTTTCCTAGCATATCTATTTTTTGCTGGTGTTCTTACGTTGTATGAATGTTAATATAAAACAAACGCTCTAAGTAACTCAAGCAGAGCTAGCTGTATCTAAGACGGTTTCTGATGTCCGTGGGTGGAGGCTTCTTCAGTTTTGTGCTTGTTCAGTGAGGGGTTTTTGTTAGTTCTTAGCAAGAATCTGCCAGTTGTTGATGAGCAGCACTGTGTAATCGGTGCTCAGCGTAACGCGCTGCTTCGCCAAATGGCTGAAATAACCATCTCCTGCAGCGAACAGGCCATCACTTACACTGCTCATATATGTGCTGGTTTTACAACACTAGGAGTTTAGTTGGAGCAGTTTTTCACAAACACTTGCAAAATAATTTTTTTTTTCCCCTAACGTTTAATTGCAACTTTAAAATAAAGGCCTATAACCTGGATACAGCATTAAAAAGATAAACAGTTTGAGTGGGAAAGCAAAAGGCCATTGCTTTTGCATCTGAGTATGTTTGTTTGTTTAATAAATAAGATTCCAGTGCCTGAAGTAACAGTTGCTGTTAATGTTTTAGAATTCATATTTAGACCAACAGGATGGGGTCTTCACCTGTCTTCAGTAATCTCTGGGGTAAATATAACAATAGTATGGGATGAATATAATAACAGGAGGGAATTATAACAGGTGTTGAAATTTTAGTGTTTCAGACTAGTGACATAATATTATGTAAATTATGTGATGAGTCTCAGTTACAGAGCCAAAGAAAAGAAATATATATACACACATAAATACATTTCTTCTGTTGCCTAGGTTATCCCCTTTTTTTTTTGTTTGGTTTGCTAGGAGGTGGGTTTTTTTTCTGTAAAACCAATACTGAGCTTTCAGTGGATATGTTTCTGGTAAGAACTCAATGGTGATTTCATGGCTCTCTTGAGCATGTTCAATGAACTGGATCATTTGTGTGACAGTTTTTAAACTCCGTAGCTGAACTTACTGGGTGAGAGTAAACAAGTTATGGAAATACAGATATTTCTACTTCTCACCAGCAGCGAAAGAGAGAAACTGAAGCCCTTTTGCCAGTCAGAATAATGTTATTTTAGAAGATGGGCGAGTCGCAGAAGAAGAAACCAAACTCATTTACAAATGTCAGCCTTTTCCACAGTGGATAGAAATTGTTACAGCATTTTGCTAGGAAGGAAATTGAACAGGATTTTGATGAGTGCTGTTTGAACTGTTGTATTAAGTAACAAAACTGGAAATTTTTGTTAAACAGAAATCAGAAAATAGTCAAACTCATTAAACTATTGCCTTTCTTCTTGATATTCAGGCTTTGCATCTATTAAATCAGACTTATCCTCAAAAAGTGAATGTATTTGCACCATCTCAAATTGCCACATTAAAAATATTTTACCTTCTCGACTCAACAAGCTCATAAGGAAAAGATATTATGGGATTTTATTTCTGTACAGAGAATGTGACTGTCATTATTAAATTAATGGGACATCTTTATTATATTATGACCATATGTGTTCTCCTGAACCAGATAATCTGACTTCTGAATGTTCGGTGAAAAAATTGAACGATTGGCCTAAGAATCTGAATGCATCTTGTGATTTGACTGAGGGGGAAAAACCCACCAAAACAACATTAACTGAGTATTTGTTAATATTCTTCTTAATGACCAGTTTCTTGCAATTTTTCTTCTCTCACACTGTGATTAAATTCAAGAAGGTATACGACAGCCTTTAGTGGGTAAGTACCCATTGCAAATTTGAGTTTAATCCGTTATGCTTTGGAAGTATGCCTCCAAATTTATTTGATGTTATTTCAGTTATCATTTGTTGAGGAGTCTTTGGCCTGTTTAGTTTCTAAATGTTTGTTCTACCTCAGAATTACGAAAGAAAACTAAAAACCTTAGCTGTTACTCTTGATTCTGTGGTTTACCTTTATGACCACCTATAAATATGGAATCACAGACACATGAGAAGAAAATGCATTTGTAACTTTCAGAAATATTTCAAGAGGAGATACAAGTACTTCCATCTAGGTATTTCTTGAATGACCCAGAGAGCCATTTAGAGGTTAAAAACATCATGGTGAAGGTAATCTATTAGTAAGTTTATCCATGCTGTGAGATAAGTAACAACATTATTAGTATTATTTAAAAGAAAAGGTAGATATAATAGGATTAAAAGATTTGCTGGAATCATAAGAGAAGTCAAGCCAGTGCCTTGTAAGTGACTGATTTTACTCTGTTTTTACACTGAAAGAGAGCTGCATGCCAGGGGGAAGAGGTTTTTGTTTCCCTCTGTGACATGGAAGGAAGAGAAGGGCTCTGGCAGGAAGTGGTGGCTTTCGTGTTGGGTACGGGAAGAAAGCTGTGCTTGGAAAACTCTCCCAAAGTATTACTGCTATGGTTATTCAATCGATAATTGGAAGTTGTGAAACATGGAATGAGGAGTCGCCTTTGCTTTTGGCTACAGCCTTTTGCTTCAGGAGCATGGTTAATCACTCCAGAATTTGCTATTTTTGAAGGCGCTTTGGGAAAAGAATGAACTTACAGCACTAAGAATTAGAAATCCTTCTGTACTTTTATCCTTTTTGGCGTAAACAGACTTGTGAGTTTTACTTCTGCATTAAGCTAACACGTAGTTTTTGGTCTTGATCTTGCACCGCATTAAGCTAATACATAGTTTTTGGTGTTGATCTTGCACTGTATTGGAAAATGGGGGAAAAAAAATGGCTATTTTTTTGACTTGGTTGCAGACTTGCTTGGTATACTTTCAGAAACTAGAAACCTTCTGTTCTGCCCTTAGTCTAAGCTCTGCATTCTTAACCAAACCTACTGCTCTTTCTAGCTCGAGTGATAGATGTGTCCAATGGAAATATAGATGTGGCAGAAAGCTGCTTGGAAGAAACGGGTGGCCTGGGTGTGGATATTGTTCTAGATGCTGGAGGTATGTTCTTGATGAAAATTATGTCTTCAGAACACCATTAGGTTTTGGGGGTTTTCTTAGTATTACTTCCAAGTAACATAGGTGGAGGCTGCATCACCTCAGATGATTATATGTAGCTTCTTGTTCCCATGCCATTTTATGTATGTACCTTTATTCAGGAGCTCTCCTTAAGCAAGATCTCTTTAAGATCGCCTCATATCACCCTCTAGTGGAAGCATCTGATACTATTTATCATCTGCTAAACTTGTCTGACACTTTTCTATATTTAAAAATTAAAAGAAAAAACGTGCTTAAAGAATGGAGCTGTGACATCATTGTTTATGCTATAGTCACCAGTACTGTCCACCTGTCATCTAAAACAATTACAGTAGTTGAAAACTTAGGAAGTTCGTATTTGTAGCTGGAATAATTGAAGAACTTCCAAGTTCCACTGAAACATATTAAAAGAAATACTGAATTCCCTTAATCTTCTACTTTCTCAGATACTCTCATGTGACTAACGGCATAATTTAACTGTAGTGCGGTTCCAGACAGCTGTCTTCCATTGGGTGTATTCATGTCTATCTGAAGACATAGGACTGTAAAGAAAGAAGCCCAGGATGTGTGGGTTTCAGTACAGGAAGAGATGGACATTTCATACTGAACAAACTTTTATTCTGAGCTTAAATGAATTTGTTCTTCCCCCGACTCCTCCCCAGTGAAATTATATAGTGCTGAAGATGAATCAGCTTCAAAATCGCGGTTGCTGCCTCATAAACATGACATCATTACCCTTCTTGGTGTTGGGGGACACTGGATAACAACAGAAAAATATCTTCAGGTAAAGATACTGTGTCAGTACATTAGTTTGTACTGCAGAACATACGTGGATGTGTCTGTGAGCTTCTGTCATGACCAAACGGTTCCCCACTTTTAAATAACATCAGTTTTCACTTAAGAAATTTTGACATCCAGAAAATGGGAAGTATACAGCATTAATAATAAAAGTTTTTATTTTCCTTTGAGATAATTTTTGGCTGTTTTCTCTGAGATGATAGTAAGTTAAATTAATAGCTTGGCTGTACTGACAAACTTTAAAGGATAATTTTTGGCTATTTTCTCTGAGATTATAGTAAGTGACGTTAATAGCTTGGCTGTACTGACAAACTTTAAAGGAGCTATTTTGTTTGGCGCAGAGTATTAAACTGTTTGACAAGACAAAAATTAGCATTTAAAGCTGTAAATATTACAAGTTTGCTAAGTTTGAAGAATGGGCACGGGGTAGTTTTGTTTGTTTTTCATTTAACGCTGTAGATATTACAAGTTTGCTAAGTTTTAAGAATGGGCACGGGGTAGTTTTGTTTGTTTTAACCATCTATATAAAATAACCATTTAGTCTTTATTTTTGCACAGGAAAATGTAACTAATGTTTTTCTTCAATTTGTTTAAGCTCTAACCATGTAGTCTTTATTTTTGCATAGGAAAATTTAACTAATGTTTTTCTTCAATTTGTTTAAGCTGGATCCTCCAGATAGCCATTCCTTGTTCCTTAGAGGAGCCACAGTCTCCTTTCTGAATGATGAGATATGGAACTTGTCCAATATACAGCAAGGGAAGTACCTCTATATCCTTTCTGATGGTCATTTTGAATACTGACTGCTCATATGAGTGACTGGAAATATAATCAAGAAACCAACTAATAGATTCTCTTCTCCTCAGTCACGTAACCACAGCCTTAAGGGTCAGCACAGTGAAGCATACAGCGTAACTAAAATAGAACGTACAGCCACATTTTAACCTAGTCTCTGCATTCCTTCTAAATATGTGTCTCTACATGCTTCATTACAAGCAGTGTTGAAATAGAAAACACCCAATCTGGAGGAAATTCAGTATTTTGATTCAAGATTGAAGCAATCAGTTCAAGATTTGATTCTGTACATTTTTATATTATGCGTATGACGTTTTGGAAAATTTTTTTGTCATTGTTCTTTTTGGCAGTAGATGCATCATCTGTAAATCCTAATGCAGTCAGCTGAAAGTTAAAATATTGTGGCTTTGTAACCTTTTCCTTATGGTACGTACCATTTATTGAGCAAAGATGTGGCTGTGAGAAGAGGAATGCCTCCATCTGCATTACCTACAGTGGGTCCTAAGCAGCCAGACTGGTCCTAAGCAGCTTTCTCCCGGCACGACGGCTTTCAGGGGATCGCTTCGAGTCAGGGAAGGGTTGTCTGGTTATGGCTTTAAGGACCCTCCCTGTTGGGTTCCGCACTGCGCTGCAGATTATGAGATCTGCTGAATCACTTTTGCAGTTGAGTGGCACAGCAGAGGCAGGTGAGGATTAAGTCATTATGTTTGTGAAAGGACTTAACTGCTGCAAGGAAGCCCTCCCCTCCTCCACTAAACTGCAAAGCAGATTAAGGCTAGGTCAGGCACACTAAGGAAATATTTCTGGGATGCAGGTTATCGTGAACCGTTTCACAGTTTGGTATTTCTGTTGAAAGCTTACAGAGTAGTTACCCACATAAAAAGTAAGCTGACTAAACAGTAAGGTTTCTTCTGTCATCTCCTGGGGTATCTTTAATAACAGCAGCGCATTTTATCACGACAGGCTTTAAAGTTGAAAGGAAAAATCTGTTTTGGTTTGGCTTTAGGTTTGTGTTTTTCTTGGATCTGAGTATCTTGTGGAATTCTTGAGCATATGGCATTAATATCATCTGAGGAAAGCACAAGGTGACTGCTTTTTAAAATGGCTTGAGCTTCAGATACTAACCAGATTGCTCTTAAAATGAAGGATTTCATATAAAGACTAAATAGGGCCTCATTAACTGCATTGTCATGAATGTTAGTGATTAACTCGGAGATCCCTTACAGATGCGCAGTGGTGCACCAAGAGCTTAGGGAAGCTGCTATGTTCCCAACTTTACTTTGATTTTTACCCAGATGTCTATATGAGTAGTAGGGGTAGTTAACTGGTACCAAAGTCTGTCATCTTCATTCTGCACAAAAAATGCAATTGCCATTCTGATTAATTAACGCTGTACTAGCGCAGGCAGCATATGTCAGTCATAATGCTTTTGCTGAATTTTTAAAAATTCTATTTTCCTTATTTCATTTCTGCATACTATTTCAGGAAAGAAAGTTTCCAATATATAAAGTGTATAAATGCAATCTAAAGATTGGATTAAGGTTAATTTTCATGTTGCCTTGATCCTGCTGATTTTTTATCAATACAGGGCTCTTGCCAGTGAATGTGATTATAGAAAGATCTACCTGTAGATAAATTTTTACCTTGACAGCCCTCTTAGATACCCATCTTAGAAGATATAATGGAGAAATTATCAAGTAACATTTTCAGGTGAGAGATGTGATTTATTTTCTTCTTTTCTTTTTTTTTTAATTCAGCATTAGAACTAGAAAACTCTTGCCAGCACTGTACCGCATTTATATTGGGATGCTCCAGAAAAGATGCTTCACATAGTTTATATGGAGCTGTTTATGGTCTATTTCTGTCGGTAACGTAGCAGGCTAAGCACAAAAAAATGCGGTAAACTCCATTGTGCTGTACGTCAAAATTTAACAGAGGCAGCACATTCTTTTCTTGGTGAAGGAAGAGCACGCATCTGGCTGCTCAGCAACGTATCTCACTGAGAAATGGTGTTGGCTGCAAGAGACAATGGGTCTGTCTGATGTTCCTTGGAGAAGAGTGACAGCTTCACTAGATAGGAAGGCTCTCATAATAAGGTGGGAATGGAAGATCCCTTCTCTTAATGTAGAGTTTGAGCAAAAGCGTCACCACCACCACCTTTTTTTTTCTTTTTTTTTGCCCCTGTAAGAAGGATATGTTGTAATTAACTTCTGTTTCCTGTTTGATTTAGGGCTCTTCCTTTTTGCTAGGAACCCAAGCAAAGCTATAAAACTTTAATTTTGTTTAAGGAGTAAAGTTTACACAGTGAAAGTAAAGTCTGTAGCTGTAGTCCTGCAATATTTGTGTTGGTCTGAGCATGCTCACTAGAGACTTCTGACATCCTGTTCCATTTCAGGCCTCAGCTGGATGAACCAATCCCATTGTACGAAGCCAAAGTTTCTATGGAAATAGTTCAGAAGAATGAAGCAAGAAAAAGACAAGTCATCCAGTTCTGACACACGATTTCCTGATTTCTGAGCCTGGCAAGATAAAGAAACGTAATGTATTTGAGAAGTAAATTAGCGTACACATTCAAATAATTCTGGACCAGAATTTAAAGGTCTTTTGTACCTCAGCACAAACGGTCTGTGAAGCTCCTGTGACTTCAGGGGTTTTTTTCTGGACCCACTTGAGCAGAATGTTCACATCAGTGACATCTGAAAAGTCAGTCTTGGCATACAAATCTTGTCTGCCCTGCCTCAATTACAAATGTCAGTAACATTTACAGGCAAACTCATTTGCTGTTGGTTTTGAACCAAAAGAAGTTAAAGGAAAAAAAAATCTGGTGTTTTTTTTATTAATCCTCCCTTCTCCTTCCTACCAGTAGTCACCTATATATTTACCTTTTGATTTTAGCTGCACTGAGACTGAGCACTCTCTGCAGTACACTTAATCCACATTTTAAATTGTTATTTAATTGAAAGACAGGCAAAACCATCAGAATTGGCAAGGATGCTAAAGGGGGAAGGGTGTGGTGTGGACAGAAGGGTTCCCACCCCACAACTGATTTTCTTCATTTTAGCAACCAGGCAGTAAATCTAGAGTCCCTAAGCTGACACAATCTATCATTCAGATGTTTGAGGCACTTTATGTATCTTGTTACTGTCATGTTACCTTTCCAGTAAGACCTTCCTGTGTTGTCTAGTTTCACTTCCCATCTTTGAACCTCAGTACTACAACTAGCGCAGCTCAGATCTCTTTATACAACATTCTCTATTACTGGGAACCATCTGCAAATCAGCAGTAGGGAAGGAACTGCTGTTTTTCTTTCTTCAAAGCATGTAGACTCCTACTTGCTCTTTTTTGAGAGCAAAAAATATTTTTTCCATTCAGCTGCGCTATTCCTTTTCGCTGTGTGGATGGCTCAAATAGTGGACACTAGCACTTCAAACCAGTGTAAGAAGTTGGAACATCTGAGTGAAAAATAGATTCTCTAGAACCACAATTAATCTGTCTTCTGTCATTCATGGGACTTGTAGAAGGTTCTTGATAAATGATGCTAGGGAAGCATGAGTAAATCTTATTTTACTAGTGACGTGATGTAAATGCAGTCTTGAAAACAAGTGATGCTTTTATGCATGTGTATACACACATGTCTTAAGCATGTGAATCCTTTTAGTTCCACATTTATTCTGTTTATTTTTTCCTGATGATGTTCATTTTAGATTAAATGCGTGAAAAATAAAGTAGCTCAGAGGAAACAAAGTAAAAGTTTAAAAATGAGGCTTAATAAAAGAGGAACAATGACTGACAAAACTGTAGAAGGAAGATTTTTATACTGTAGTTTTTATTTTATTAGGTCTTTCATCAGTAGATGCCTTCCAAACCCCATGTACAGTAGACTAAGGCTGTTGCTGAAGCAGTCTTAGTCTCTCAGCTGGACCAGGTTATGAGGGAAACTTCTCTTTGTACTTTGAGTGTTCAGATGCCCATCACTGTATTTATCTGGCTGAGGCGTCTCAGCCTTTCCTAATGCTAGCTTTCGATTCCCATGTGCAACTCCCTCAGCAAATGCTTCCTTTTTCACACAACCCCTGAAAAAGAAAGTAGAAAATAGTTCTGAGCATGAGAGCAAGGCTTCCTAGCCCTGGGGCGAGGAGGTGGGGAAGAAGGCTGCCAGGCACTTGCCTTTTCGGAAGTCACATGTGCTTCACCGCTCATTGCACACGGATCTGGCGGCCCGGTGGCAGCTGCCCATGCTCTCCTGTGGTCCTGGGAAGGGCGAGAGGTGAGCCGGGCGCTGGAACAGCTCAGATTTTTGCCCAGGTTTTTGCTGCAGCTCCAGGGAGCTCAAGCTCCATGCAGCCGGGTGAGAGGCAGATGATTGCCATCAGGGGCAGCCATGTTGCAAGTTTGCACCTAGATTGGTTTTATAACCCACTGTTGTTTTACTTAATGGCATAGAATCACAGAATCACAGAATGTTTGGGGTTGGAAGGGACCTCTAGAGATCCTCTA